ACCAATCATGACAAAAGATTTAGCACACATGTAATCAATGTGACTAGAGAAAGAAAGTCCAGAATCAAATATAACAACGAGATCTTTCATCTCGTAACAACGATTTAGAGAGCAAGTATTTAATTCATAATTAAATAAAGTGTTATTAGTTTTTCTTGAATAAGTAACAACGCAACACCTGTTTATGTTTAAAAAGAAGTTATTGTCAGTGCACCACCTATTAAGGGCGTCTAGATCATTTTGTAGGTAGGCTTTTTTTTAATGCACACCCTCCACGGTCTCTGCAAATATTGGATTTTTTTTTAAATTCAATATGCTTTTGATTACTCTGGTGTTTTTTTTTACTTTTTTACTTTACAAACCGCTAGCACTAAAAAAGCAGCAAACACGCTGGTGTTTCGGGATAACTGCATATGTATACAAAGCAATACCAAAGTATAGTAGGGGAGCCCACGATGCTAAATCGGGATTTACTCGAGCGTCATTTTGACCTATTGGATTTTGAAGATTATATGATGGGAAGAAAAAAGGTCATGTGATATTTTTCCTTCCAGGGTGGAGAATCTGCAGGCTTCCAAAAATGTAAAAAAAAAGTTACGTGGATTAACCCGAGCGCGTCAGATATTGATAGTGAATAAATCAAACGTGTTTCTGATGGCGGAAATATGCTAATCTGCCGGTTTGCATAGTTGGGTTGGACGTACGGAAGGGTCAAAAATGGGTGACAAAAAAATTTAGTCGAGCGCGTCAGGTATTCACAAGGGATGTTAAATAGGCCCGAATGAACCTCCCATTCAATAATCTGACGATTCAGATGGCACGCAAGCTCGTGGCGTCTTCTTGAAGATGCAAAAAAAAAATCACCATTTGGATTTACTTGAGTGCATCAGATATTCATACAGAAGGTTCACCTCGATGTCCTGGTCGCCCTGTTCCATAATCTGACGATTATCACGAGGGGTTTTCTTAATCTGACGGTATTAAAAAATAATTTCGGTTCTGAGATGCACAGTCAACCAAACATATATTATTGTAAACACTTATTATTTTATCCGTGCAACTATCGTCATACAGCAAGTCCGGTTCGACTTGGTCGTCAATTTCTTCTACATTTTCCCCATCTGTAACAAGAAGTAATTTACAATATTTTTTTTTTTACATATTAAGTGAAAAGTGTGTTATTATAGAATTTATATGGTATTATACCTGAGTCCCTAGAATAGTCCAACAAGTTTTTTGACAAGAATTTGATCCACAAAAACCATTTCCTCTCATCGTGAATCACAAAATGTATACCTTTTTTATACCTACACAAGAACCGCATTAAGAAAAAACCAATATGACTTAACACATGTTTCTTTACAGCACACTCGCTGAAACCGTACTCAAAAGTATACAAAATTGTTTGTTTTATTTCGATATTTCTTTAATAATTTATTTGCGTGATGGACCGAAATGGAAGCGAACAATAATTCAAATTTATTTTAATAATTATTCAAATTTAAAACGGGCTGTACAAAGAAAACCAGCCTATTTTCACTTCGCGTCGAATGAGTGATGTGTTTATACCTGTTTTCTAACCGATTTGGGAAATAAAAAACCGATTTGAAATCAAATTCGAGTCAATACATTTTTGAAATTCAGAGCGCACAGTGTTTCGACTATATGGAGGCAGGTAGAAAAATGTCAAGGTGACAGTTGATAAAAAAAAAACCGGTTAGACTTAGAGAGGGGAAAATAAAAGTCATAAATACCAAATTTTACATTATTTACTGACCTCCCTTCTTCACGAACGATACATTTCCAAAAAAATACGGGAATGGGCGCGATATCGACTAATCAGTTTAATTGCCCAGTAAAGAAAGTGTTTCTTTTTCAACAGCAATCAATTATTTAAATGTCGTGGAATATTCACGTGAAGGTATTTATCATTTATTTGGTACTTTCCTATTTTCTTACCAAAAAATTTACTTTCAAATGTAGATGCTAAAGATTATTAGTAAAAAAAAAGTGAGTACCGGTCCGTCAGGTCTTGAAATTAGACGAATGTTTTAGAGAATTTTTTGTAGTTTTTGAATATATAATTTTATCTTTGCACGCGACTTTGCAAATATATGAAATTTTTGATTGTCTTAATTTTTGATTTTCAGCTTCTTTTTGCATAATTTCGCGAAAAGAATTTTTCGAACAATGAAAAAATCTCTCCAAACATTGGGAAAAAGCGAGTATTTGCACCGAAGTCATTTTATAGTATAACCTTTGTTTTCTGAGGGTGGAAAGCAGGAATCAAAAATTAACCAAAATTCCATAACATTTAATGACTGGGCCCACATTTTTTGTGAGTTTTGGACGTTATAGTGATCCAATCTTTCCCATATTTTATATTTATTCTAATAAAATAAAGACTATAAACTAAATTTTTTTTTCGTCGAAATCTAGTTCATCCGAGGATGAAATTTAATGTTTCCGCCCACAAGTGTAGAGGGCGCGGCAATTATTCCATCTTTACAAAATTTCATAATTCTCTGTTTCTAAGTAAAACTAGAGCACATGTCAAGTTTCAGTGAAATCGGTGCAGGTTTACCATTATTTCCACCTGCCTCCATATACATAGTCGAAACACTGTGGAGCGTATTGAAATTTGGTTTATACATCCGCTTTGAATCACAGCGAACTGGATCAAAGCGCTTTATGTGTCGACATAAAAAAGGTATTAGTTAGTTATTAGTTAGTTAGTTAGTTAGTTATTTCAAAGGTTATATTTCATGTAACACCACGAGCAAGAAGGGAGCGGAGATAAGTAAACTTAAGATTGCCGTATTCAAAATTATCTGAAAAATGCGTGTTTTTCATACATACAAATTCCTATGTCTAGTGATTTTAGCTAAGAAATTAGTAAAATTCACATACATAAGTTAAAAAAGTAATTTTTAACTGATATTTGTTGAGCTAAAAGTTACATCATGTGTTAATAATTTTTCTTAATATAATTTTGATCTAATACGCAAGTTGGCGACCCTCCCAATCCCTTGCGTTACGCCCAAATCGTCAGATTATTGAAATGCACACTCTTCAGCATGTAATTAACCTACTATTTCTTAATCTGACGTGCTCGAGTAAATCCACCTATCAATTTTTTTCTGATCAACTCTCCTATGCACGCGGCTCTACATAGATGGCTTAGATTTGGCGCTCGAGTAAATCCCCGAATCCCCACTTGGGTTCCCCTACTATTACCAAAGACAATAAATTGTTGTTTTTCGTATATTATATTCAGGTAGAACTGCAACAACTGCGGCAAGCTTACAACCGTCTTATTAATCAAATGAACAACATATTCACCCAGAAGCTCTGGTTCGTTATGCTTGAACAATTTTTTATGAAATATGTGTGGTCTGGGACGGGTATGGTTATGGTTTCTTTGCCAATTTTAACATCAGGTGGAACTATACCAGCAATCGACACGAATAACTCAAGCGTAAAAGAAGTTTTGGATTCAAATGTCAGTGAGCGTACTCAATATCTTACTACAGCACGGAATTTACTTATTTCCGCTGCTGATGCCATTGAGCGGCTGATGTCATCGTATAAAGAAATTGTTGCACTGGCTGGATATACTTATCGTGTTGCTGGAATGATGGATGTTTTTGAAGAGACCGCGCAAGGTATTTATTATAAAAACACCGTCGTCGAAAACAATGAAATGAGCGGTATCATTGAGTTCAAGGATGGGAAGCCGATTGCCAAGGGTCGTATCATATACACCGATACCCCAAATGATATGACAATTACATTGCGTGCTGTACCTGTGGTAACACCCAATTGTGATATCGTCGTACCAAGTCTAACTCTGTGCATTGAGCAAGGCATGCATCTGCTAATTACTGGACCCAATGGCTGTGGTAAATCAAGCCTATTCCGTATTTTGAGCGGGCTTTGGCCTATTTATTCTGGTGAACTGCATATACCACGTCCTGTTGAAGATAAACCTTGCATGTTTTATATCCCACAACGTCCATACATGTCAACAGGCAGTCTTTGTGATCAGATTATTTATCCCGATAGTCGTGAAGATATGATACGAAAAGGTGTTACAGAGAATGAGCTGCGAGTCATTTTGAAGATGGTATGTTTGGAACATATAGCCCAACGGTAATAACTGCTAATGAGAAACACGTGACATTATTTGCTTATATTTATAAAAACGTGTTAATTATTTTCAGTGATAGCTTTCATGTTGTCCGTGATTGGAAAGATATACTATCCGGTGGAGAAAAACAGCGCATGGCCATAGCACGTCTTTTTTATCACAGGTAAATATACCAATGTTTTAAGTGTCGCACTTTTTTTTTATATTTTAAGGCGGTTTAAATGATAAACTAGCAGCTCATTATATATTTTCTTTTTGTTTAAAACATTATGAAGTAGCTATAAACGCCGTAAAAACGTTTCCAACTTTAATATTGCATGAAAAAAATATGACTTGAAAGCATTATGACGTTGGAAATATCTTATAAATCCACTAAATATCATTACATTAAATTTGTCTTTTCCTCGCCCGGGGGTGTCCTAAACTGGCCATTTTGTGTTTCTTTTGTCAGTTCTGGGACTGTTGGCGGACACCTTGCAAGAGTACTTTGTGTTTCAAATTTGCCCGAGATCGCCCGGACTATTTTTCCGAGCGAGTTTCTGGAAACTGTTAAACTGCCAGAAGAAACAGAGTAATGAAGAGCAAACAGCTTTTAACTAGTATATATATGTATATACTAATATATTCTTTGATTGATGCATGAACAAATATCAACAAACTGTCTTGCGTTCCCGTGGTTTTGGGCAGTTTCATCTCTTTTGTGAGAGCTCTTCGTATCTACGCTCGTTTGCCCGAAACTTGCCAAGAAATAGGGATGTCAGTGGCAAAAATACATCGATGTTTTTCTTTGATTCGATGCATCGAAATGTACATCGATATTTTTCGATGCATCGAAGGGCATACATCGATGCATCGATTTGCATAGGATTTTTCAGATAATGTTTCACAACAAAATATGTTATTAGCAAAATTGTAGAAAATTTGAAATAAATTACTGCAACCGAGCTAATTATGTTTCTAACGGAACTTCTTGCAGCAATTTAAATTTTTTGGTCAAAGTCACTTCTTTTTTCTGAACAATTGAAAAACTGGAATGACGGTTCAACGTACCGTAGATGTCAGTTTTCGAAAAACTTCGATACATCGATGCATCGATACATCGACTATTTATACATCAAGTGGAAAATTTTCGATGCATCGAAGAAAAACATCGATATTTTCGATGCATCGATGTTTTTCCGACATCCCTATCAAGAAATATAAAAAAAAGCTTGTAAAAACCGACCTATTGACAGAGCGTCTCGTCAGTAATAAGATGAGTAGTTTTATAACTACCTATGCAAACAATGCATTGATAGTTTTGTAAACATCGACAAAATCGGTCGAAGATTGGTTGTTCACCATCGATCTTTCAAAATTTCTGATATCCCAAAATTGACGAGGCTTCGGTTTCTGTTCAACATCGATTTGTTGTTTTTATTTTCAAGATCGATCACTGCATTTTTCGGGCTGAGCTTGAGCTCGAATTTAGGTAATCGTCTTGATTTGAGAATTATTTTCCTGTACCCGAAATGAAAATTGTATGTTAACACCGATTAGTCTTGGTTGGAATCTAATTTTTTTTTTT